TGTCTTATGTAGCTTTTTCCCCCATCAAGATTTGCACATAGTATTGTGGTTATGTCTCTTTAGACTCTTGTTCTAGAGCATTCCAGCCCCTCTAGTAATTTTAAACAAAGAGGAATTTAATATAGAGAATTAAGGAATTTGCAATCATTGATGGGTGTGAAGGACCTTTAGGAGCGATTCTCAGAACAATGCCGCAGAACTGAACTGCCAGGCACGGGACCAATGAGAAATCCAGGTCCGGGAACCACCACGCCAGTGGCTGAATCCAGGGTCATGCGCTCACAGCAACATGAGGGTGCAGCGGATGCCCCCCATTTCTCAGTGCTCGGCTCTGCCTTTGTGGTGGCTGGCCTGGAGGTGCTCCCAGTGATCCCTCCGGTTGTTCGTGCCCTTGTAAGTCTGCTTCCACAGTGAGTCGGGAGTGGGCTGCAGGACCCACTGGAGTGCAGCGGAGATGAGCGTGTGGCTTCTAAGCCCGGGTCATAAGAGCCATTGAAGCCTCTGCCGGGCCTCTGGGGACACTAGCTCTGGGGGAAGCCAGACGCCACGCCCTGAGGATACTCAAGCAGCTCTGTGAAGAAACCCACCTGGAGAGGGACACAGGCCTCCTGCCGGGTGAGCGGGCCACCGTGGGAACAGGGCCTTCAGCCCCAAGAGGACTACGGCGTTGGCTGGTTTGACTGTCATTTCCTTAGAAAGCTGCCCACCAAGACGCTCCTAAATTTCTGACCATGGCAACTATGAGAATAGATGACCTTTTTTTAAGCTGCTGTGTTTTGGTTTGTCACATAGATAGCATTAGAAACATTACATACAGTATTTACAATCTTCCACCCAATACACAGCTCCATATTCTGCCTTCTCCTCTTTTTTACACTCATAAACAACTAAACTAATGGCAAACTAGTAGATTAAATTGTTCATATTGTTCTCTTTTTGGGTGTCTTCCTTTTTCCTTCTTCCCTATCCTCCGAAGTCCAGCTCAATCTCCATGAAGCGATTTATTTAATTTATTATTTTTCAATTAGTTTACTTTCAGTATGATTCTATATTAATTTCAAGTGTACAGAATAATAGTGAGACAATCATATACTTTATGAAGCGCTTTTTTCCGGTACACAGTAAAGTGTCCGATGTTTACAGTACCCACCCGACACAATACACAGTTGTCGCAAGATTACTGGCCACCTTCCCCATGCTGTACTTTACATCCCTGTGACTATTTTCTCACTACCAATTAGTATCTGTAAAGTGTTTCTTGACTATGATACTTTGACAGTCTTTCCTTTGGTAGTTTGTGGCTGGTATGTCACAAGTAATTATTTACTGTCCCATATCATTTATTATTTCACACATATTATTTGCAAAAATAAAGATGATGTAGGTTTCTTCTGGGTTTCTCATAGCCCCTACCACAGTGCCACACATGTAGCAGCTACTCGAGTGGAATGACTTCATTTTTAATAGGCCATCACCCACTCGAATAAAAACCTGAAACAATAATACTTTCTTCTTAGTCTGAATTCTAGAATTATTGTTTTGTCTAAGGATTGAAATAACCTCCAGACTCATTGTTTTTACAAAGTTGATTTAAAAATAGTTTTAGCGGTATATACGATGTGTTTTACATACAAAAGGAAAATTTAAAGCAGGAGTAATTAAATAACACAACCCAAGTGGTAGCAAATGAAATTCTGTCCTTAATAGAATATTGTGCCCCACAGAGAAAGAATCCAATAAACGTTCTGTTCCTCTTAGCATACTGTTTCCCTCCTTGGAGATGCTAATTTAATGGTTCCTGAAAGACAAAGAAGTTATGGCCACCAGCAGCAGAAATATGTTTTTCACTGTTGGTATATGGCTTCAGAAATTCATCTACACTTTAAGAAGAAGTTATTGGCATAGAGATTGCCAAGTTATTTCATATTAAACCTCAACGCCATTGCTTGGTACATGTGTAAGAGGCACTCAGATTAATGAATTAATAATACCTGTATCGGTCAGGGTTCTCCAAACAGGCCAATAGGATTGATCCCTCCATCCACCCATCCATACACTGAAGAGGTTTATTGTAAGGAATTGGCCTGAACAATTGTGAGAGCTGGAAAGTCTGAACTTTGTAGGGCAGTCCAGAAGGTTTGAAATTCAGGTGGGATTCTACATTACAGTCTTGAGGCAGAATTCTTCTGCGGGAAACCTGTTTTTGCTCTTAAGGCCTTCAACCGATTGGATGAGCCTTCTCCACATTATGGAGGATGACCTGCTTTACTTAAAGTAATCTAATCATGAATGTTAATCATATCTATAAATATCTCCATAGCAACATCTAGACCAGTGTCTGAACAAACACAGGCACTAGGGCCTGGCCAAGTGGACAGACATATTAACATCACAATACCATATTTGAGAGTGTGAGGAGATTTGATTTTTTTTTCTGTATCACTATGCATTCCACATGTTGAGTATTCAAAATATTCTGAGCACCATTACCAAAAAATCAGAGACATACTATGCTGAGAGTTAATCACCAATATAACCATTAGTAATACAATTCTGTCTGATGAAGTATATAGAAACACATCTTAGAAACTTACCTTCCTATAAGTGTTCATGTATTTTATTAAGAAAATATCATTTTTTTGTAATCTAGGACAGGGAATCTAAGGGAGGACTGTTACCCTTCACAACAGTGAATAAAATGCCTCCCATCACTGACTTGGTTTTTTAAAAAAATATATATTTTATTGATTTGAGAGAAAGGGAGAGGGAGAGAGAGACAGAAACATCAATGATGAGAGAGTCACTGGTTGGCTGCCTCCTGCAGGCCCCCTGCTCCCCAGCCCAAAACCCAGGCATGGGCCCTGACTGGGAATTGAACCGAGTTCTGGATCACAGGTCGATGCTCAACTGCTAAGCTACACTGGCCAGGCCTGACTTGGCTTTTAACTATGCAATAACACATTCACAAAATTTCCAAGTTACTCTCCAGAAACTCCAACAAAACTGTCATTCAAAAAGTGTTTATCAGAGAGACTTTTCCCAAAGAAGTTATATGCAAATATCCAGAAGTTTCACCATTTATAAGGTGACAGAAAGACAGATGAGGAGAGAATGACCTCAAAGGTAACCTCGCCCACCCCAAACTCCCCAAAATGATTCAATGAGAGAGTTAAAATGCTGGGCCGAGTAGGCCAAAGGACTGTCCTAGAGTAATTCTTGGGGTTTATGAAATACTGGAGATGTCTGAAAACTCTCATGGAAATAAAAAAGCTCAGCCATTTATTTCCCAAGTCATGTTTTATGTATAAAATTTATTTTCTAAGTTGCAAGCAGATCCTTATTTATTGGCCTGTTACTCAACAAAAGGCTCGCAGCACTGAACAGATGAAGAAAAAACAGAGATGTATGCATGTGGCAACAGTGTCAGAGGCTTTTCCTATTTAGAGAGTGACTACTGTATTCTAATAAGACTTCGTGAGATCTTTCTTACAGAAAATGAGTGGCCCTATAGAAGTAGGACTGGAAAACATAGTTAATGGCAGAACTGGATTTTTGATTTAGATAAATACTCTAAGGAAAGGTCGAAAATATATATGTTCATATTGGTTCACAATCTCTATATCCAATTGGACTACTTAAGGTCTTTTTAAAAAATTTATCTTTATTGTTCAAAGTATTATAGGTGTCCTTTTTTCCCCATTGACTGCCTCCACCCCACCCCCAGGCCTTCCCCATACCAATGTTTGTGTCCACAGTTATTCGTATAAGTTCTTTGATTAATCTCACCCCACCCACTCCCCCACCCGTCTTCCCTCTGAGATGCATCAGTCTGTTCCATGCTTCTATGTCTCTGGATCTATTTTGTTCATCAGTTTATTTTGTTCATTATATTCCACATATGAGTGAGATCATGTGGTACTTGTCCTTCTCTGACTGGCTTATTTCACTTAGCATAATACTCTCCAGGTCCATCCACACTGTCCCAAAGGGAAAAAGATCCTTTTTTACAGCTGCACAGTATTCCATGGTGTAAATGTCCCAGCTTTTTTACCCACTCATCTACTGATGGGCACTTGGGCTGTTTCCAGATCTTAGCTATTGTAAATTGTGCTGCTATGAACATAGGGGTGCATAAGTTCTTTGTGATTGGTGTTTCAGGTTTCTTAGGATATAGTCCTAGGAGTGGGATCACTGGGTCAAATGGCAGGTCAATTTTTAATCTTTTGAGGAACCTCCATGCTGCTTTCCATAGTGGCTGCACCAGTCTGCATTCCACCAGCAGTGTAGTAGGGTCCCCCTTTTCTCCACACCCTCGCCAGCACTTGTAGTTCGTTGATTTGTTGATGGAGCCATTCTGACAGGTGCGAAGTGATACCTCATTGGGTTTTTAATTTGCATCTCTCTGATGATTAGTGACTTTGAGCATTTTTTCATATGTCCTTGGCCATCTGTAAGTCCTCTTTGGAGAAGTGTCTATTTAAGTCCTTTGCCCATTTTTTAATTGGATTGTCTTCCTTTTGTTAAGTTGTATGAGTTCCTTATATATTTTGGATATTAACCCTTTATCAGATGTGTCATTGGCAAATGTTCTCCCATATAGTGGGCTCCTTTTTTGTTTTGTTGATGGTTTCTTTTGCTGTGCACAAGATTTTTATTTTATTTTCTCCTTTGTTTCTCTTGCCCTAAGAGATGTATTGGCAAACATATTGCTACGAGAGATGTCTGAGATTTTGCTGCCTAAGTTTTCTTCTAGGATTTTTATGGTTTCACATCTTATATTTAAGTCTTCTCCATTTTGAGTTTATTTTTGTGTATGGTGTAAGTTGGTGGTCTAGTTTCACTTTTTTGCATGTACCTGTCTAATTTTCCCAACACCATTTATTGAAGAGACTGTCTTTACTCCATTGCATATTCTTGCCTCCTTTGTCAAATTAACTGAGTGCCATGGCTTGGGTCGATTTCTGGGTTCTCTGTGGACTATTTAAGGTCTTGAAACCAAATTGTTTAAAAAGTTTTATTTGGTAGCAGAAAATATCTACAGTTGGATCTTTACAAAAGAAGATATGCAAGAGGGGAGAAATAAATGTACATATAAGATTTTGCTGTTGAAATTTGGGACGACCATCAACAATTGATTTAGGTTACAAGAGCTCACACAAAGTTACGTCTTTTTACATAAAGGAAGCAGAAGCTAGGCTAAGTTCTTGACTAAATAGTTTGTTGAAACTCTTAATAGACATTATACTGAATCTAAAGAAAGATTAGTCTATGGAAGAGAAGACAAACTAAATTATTTCAAACTGTAGTACTATATCAACATTTTTAGTCAGACTGAAACCAATTATCTCTACAACTTGACAACTGATTTTTCATCCCATCATGTCTATGACGTCTACCATATTCATTTACACCATGGCTTTTCATCTCAGTGTTCAGTATTTTAAATTACATGCAGATTTATATATATCAGATGCTACAGACAATAATTCTTATTTGGGGATGTACATCTCTCTCTGGGTGTGTATCCATTTGATTTGGTCACATGTACAATCTCTGTCATGGACCTGATTGCTTATCTGACAATGGAGGACAAGACCTACCAGAATGGCCCAAAGGTAGGAGGCCTATGAAGGAGAGCCCTGCTGTTTCTAAAGACTTTGTATTCGTTCAAAATACTAATACCAGAACTTTTTAATGGGCCAAATAAAGAGGCACTAAGAGTGTTTGGGAGCATCTTAACAAAATATAAAAAATACAAATTTCACTCAATGGGAAAGCAAAAAACTTCCACTAGTGGGGGAAAAAACCACATTGGTGTTCCAGTTTCACTGCATTTATGACGACTGTGACCCCTATTAATTAAATATAAAGAGTCCAGAACAAATTCTGACTTAGGACCTTACTGTACAAGTATAGCAGTATTTCTATATCAAATTAAATGTAGTCAGTGATTAAATACAATGCTACACACACACACATACACACACATAATCATAGTACCTTTATGGACCTCTCTACAATGCTCACAGTAGCTTATGTATGGACAAAAATAAAGATGACGGTGTAAAGCTGGAATGGAGATCAGAACCACCTTTCAGAGCTTACTAAGTGACACCGTCCGTGGGTTAAATAGCTTACATTATTCAAGTCTGAATCTTGATTTTGAAAACAGAACTGTGCTTTGGTATTCAAACCTTTATAAAATTTTACAGTTTTTCAAAATAAGGGATAAAAGGTAGACAACATCAAACATGTGGGAGAAAAAGACTTCTGACATAACTGTCACATGATTAAACCAGTGGTTTTCAACCCAGGCCTGGCCAGAACCCAGCTTCCTGGAGGTGATCAGAGGTATTAAAAGGGGCATCAAATTTTCTTTTTATAAGTACATATTTTAAAAATGTAATAAAAATGCACATCCTAATCTGTTACATACCCCAAGTTTTCCGTACTGGAGACTGCTTATGTATTAACTTCCACTACCAGGGTAATTATTTTGGTATCAACCTTGGAATACAACTCCAAGAACCTCCTGAGATGTGTATTTGAAACCTATTATTTGCAATTACATATGTTTGTGTGAATTGAAATTTTCTTGACAATATGCAAATAAAACAAGGGATAGAAATAAACTGGCTGCTGAAGCTTTCACCAGCCATTAATAACCTCAATTTCATATCTGTGTTATTCAGAAATATTATTCTTAGTCATGGACTAAAATAAGTGAACATAAATGTGAACTTAAAATACATTTATACTGATAAAATAAACTTTTCAGGCTTTCTGTATTGGGGTTTCACAAAATTTTATTTAAAAAAGATTCTAGTGCTAAAAAAAGTTCGGTAAATAGTGCTCTATAAGAAACTGTCTTTTCATTTAATTTGTTACAATGTTCGATGTCTGAAACAAGCTGCCTGACATTTCAATTCTTAAATTCCTCTGAACGTGGGAACATTTCTACATATTAAGAGTGTTGCAGATCTTCAAAAATGGAAACTCACAATAAATAAGAAATTACACAAAAAAATTCATAATTGTCTTAGGCTCTTCTGATAGGCAGCTTTAAATAAGATTTCTATTTTTGAATTAATATATTTATTGTTGTGTTTTAGTCTCAAAATATGTTCTTCCTCCATGTAACATAATTTTGTATCATCACACATCAAACTGCGTTGTGCGTTTTGAATGTTCAGGCACATTTCAATGACTTTAGATTTTATTTTGTGGTTTCATAAAAGAGCTTGTGCACACCAAACTCAAACAATCTTTTTTATTTAAAAATCCACCTCAAAATTCACTTCTGGGTTTTAGCCTCTGTTTTAAAAAGAAGCAAACATTTAAAAGCATCAAATGTTACTAGTCTACAATTCATCATCTTGTTATGGACATTTTTAGTTTGTGGATTGGGGAAATAACCCATTACATCAATTAGGCACAGTACTATGGCCGAGGGGCCAGAAATCAGGGCACATCTGTGTACTCAGGCAACATAGGTTTGAATGGAGGGGGTCATGCCTCAGCTGTGGGCACTCCAATCTCTGTGCCCCCTCTAAAAACTGTTAGTAGGTTCAAATCAATACATAAGAGATTGTATGTCATTTAGTTAAAAAACAAACAACTCCATCTGCTTTCTAAATTAAGTAGCAAAGCCAAGACATAATATAATTGTAGCCTCACTATAATTTGTGGTCTTGATAGCCGTCCCAGGACCATGTTATAGGTGAGAAAGAATTATACGATTTCTCTGGTGGTTTCAGAAATCTGGTTGAAAGAGGTCCATGACTATAAGATTTCACATTATAGCAAGGCTCCAATAGTTCTTGAACTGGGACAGTGAATATAAATCACAGTACAAAATCCTTAATTTTTTTTTACTAGAAAAGCAACAGGTGCTACATATGAGAATCACTTACATAACATCTATTTTTCTTTTTAAAAATGCAAGTATAAAATATTAATTGCATAGGGATTTAAATATAAGGCCAAGTAGAATATTAAGTAAAGTTAAAAAAAAAAAATCATAGAAAGGGCACTATGGTGTCAAAAGTTAGAATTTCATTCTTAGAGTAATAAATCTGAATTACTGTCTAATTAAAAAAAATCACAGTATGTTGCTATAACTAACAGTGAATGTCAACTGCGTCACTAACTCCAAATTGGAAATCAAACATTAGGACTAACAAGAAACAAAGCTCACTGTCTAAACCTGATCAGTGTATTAGCACATCAGTGCCTGGTACGTACCTGATTAGTCATATAAACTACGATTTGCAAATAATACAAAGTTTAATACATGTTAACAAGTGTGAGGGCAAATCATCACCTCATGCCATCAGTGATCTATAGGCTTACTTGGTAATGTAATTATTCAGTCTTTCTGAGGTACAAGATCCCACCCGGCAGAATCTTCACTCAATGAACTAAGAACACTGTAATTAACAAAATATAATAAAGTTCTACCACTGAGAACTAACTGTACACGAACCAGAGAACTAGGTCCTAATCCCAGTACACATATTATCCTTAGCATTCTAGAAGGCAGTGAAGGATGAGTCCAACTATACTCTGTAGTTTAATGATCACCACCCGCGGTTTCAGGTAGAAAGGTAAACTGTGAATCTACTTCTCATTGTAATGTTACACTGAAGTTTAAAAGAGCAATTTACAAATCTAAAAGTAGCTTAGTTAACTCAGTATTGTTATCTATAGTAGTGTGAGGAAAAACAAACACTTCCCAAAGGAATTATGTTAAGGTACATTTTTGAATACCCCAACAATGTTTTAAATGAAAAAGTGCATAAATACAATAATACTACAAGTGTGTTAACTATGGAATCAATTTTTTTCTGGGAGCTAAACAATACTATTTTCCCACGTTATTTACAGATTATGAATTGTTCAGATACCACAAAGCACCATTGACAGTGTAAATTGCTTGATTATGTCTGAAAGGTCCTTTGACTTCAACTCTACTCAGTTGAGGATCTACCTAGAGTAGAAGTGTCAAGTCATCTTCAGTCAAATAGGACTTATCTTTACAATTCAGTTCTCTTTTGTTCAGACACAGCAGAGCAATATTTTCATTTCACACTCTTGGGCGGCGTTTCGGATTCTGTGGACTGTCTTCCGTCTGTCCAAGCTTCTCGGGTGCTCTTCAGAGCTAGGGTCTTCTGTTGGTCAACCACAACATAATCCACTCTCTCATCTGCCACACTGCTTCCCGAGCCACTGCTCTTTTGCTAGAAAAAGCAAATTAAAAAAACCTCATAAATTTCTACATAGAAGAGAATGTTTCTGAGTGAAATTCAGTGTTAAAAAAACAGATACACATGCAATGAAGAATTCGTGAAATTCTATTTGGTCACAAAAAAATAACATTACCTTGATTTAACAATGTTGTCTCTCTCCTAATTGCACACTATTTTTCTTTAAATTTAAAATTAACATATATAATAAGAATTCAAACTAATGCTCCCCATCACAGATGAAATTCTTATAAAGTAGGGACAGCAGACACCTGGTTCATCTTAAGATACACAACTTGCTTCTCCCTTTAGCCTTTAGCTTAAGCCTAACCTTTTTTTTTTATTAATCCTCACCTGAAGATATTTTTTTCCACTGATTTTTTTAGAGAGAGTGGAAGGGAGGGAGGGAAAGGGGAGAGAGAGAGAGAGAGAGATATCGATGTAAGAGAGACACATTGATTGGTTGCCTCCTGCAAGTGTCCTGACCAGGGCTGGGATTGAACCTGCAACCCAGGTATGTGCCCTTGACCAGGAATAAAACNGAAATATCGATGTAAGGGAGACACATTGATTGGTTGCCTCCTGCAAGTGTCCTGACCAGGGCTGGGATTGAACCTGCAACCCAGGTATGTGCCCTTGACCAGGAATAAAACCCGAGACCTTTCGGTTCAAGGGCCGACACTCTAACCACTTAGCAACACCGTCCAGGGCAAGCTTAACTTGTTCAAGTCCTGAGAACATTTGTCAGTGCTTAGTTTCAGAGCTAAAAAATGTTTTTTGAAAAGCAGTATTTCAGGAATGGCAAATTATATAGGCCGATGGGCTGGCCTTCTTATTCCTAAAATACAATTAAATACTAGCTAACTTAAAACAAAAAATTCTTAATGCATTGTTGGGCTCACTAGAGAAGAAGGAAAATGCCCAAGGTGTGAGGGAAGCAGAGGGAGCAGAGAGTTGCCAAATGGTAAAGACAATGCTGTCTTCACGATTAATGTCAATCTGAGCAAGGTACTCAGGAGGCCCTGGGTGGGAGGCCACGCTGAACCAGGGCTATTCTGTTAAGCTACGGAGCCTCTGACGTGGTCCCAGCATGGGAGCACCACCTGTTTCCTAGCAGAGGCCAATGCAGGATTCCCACAGCCAGCCTCAGCAAAATGAATGAACAATAAAATGTATAAAACACGAGGAAGCCGTCAAAAGTGCAAGTTAGTGCCTGGCCGGGCGTGGCTCAGCAGTTGAGCATCGATCTAGGATCTAGGCAATAGCAGTTCGATTCCTGGTGGGGGCACATGCCCGGGTTGTGGGCTCAATTCCCAGGAGGGGGCGTGCAGGAGGCAGCCGATCAATGACTCTCATCACTGATGATTCTATCTCTCTCTCTCCCTCTCCTTCCCTCTCTCTGAAATCAATAAAGATATATTTAAAAAAGAACGGACTTATTAAAAAAAAAAAAGAGTGCGAGTTAGCAAAACCAAGCACAGATTCAGACCTTGTCCAAGGACTTCAGCTATTAAAATTATTGCATAAACAGTATAAAATATATATGTATAAAATGCTCAAAGGAATTTAAAAACAAGAGTAAATAAAAGGAATAAAATAAGAAAGGAATAAGAAGGTACTCAAATCAGCTAAGCATGTCTGAAAAATAAAACCCAAGCAGAACTTCGTTTTAGAAATAAAAAAATAAAATAATTGAAATTAAAATTACACAAGTGGATTAAACAGAAGAGTTGAGAATTCGTGTACTAGGTGAAAGACCTAAAGATATTATCCAAGTAATCACAAATAGACAATAAAAGAAAATATGAAAGAACAGTAAGAGGTACAAAAAATAGAATGAGAAGTTCTAACTAATGTCTAATCATCAGAAACCTCAAAGAGGAGAATAAAAAGAATGGTGGAACCCTAGCTGTTTGCTCAGTGGTTAGAGCATCAGCCTACACACTGAAGGGTCCCAGGTTTAATTACAGCCAAGGGCATGTGCTGTACCTCTCAGCTGCAGGCTCGATCCCCAGCCCCAGTCAGGGCATGCGCAGGAGGCAACCAGCCCATGTGTCTCTCTCACATCAATGTCTATCTGTCTGTCTGTCTGTCTTTCTCTCTCCTTTCCTCTCTCTGTGAAAAGCAATGGAAAAAATATCCTCAGGCGAGGGTTAAAAAAAAAGATTGGTGGAAAAGCAATATCTATAGATAACGGCTGAAACTTTTCCAGAATTGGTAAAAAAAAAAAAAAAGAAAAGAAAAAAAGACAGTATAACTTCTACCAAGCAAGATAAATAAAAAGAAACCTATGTCTAGGTGTCTAGACACACTGTAGTAAACCTGCAGAATATCAAAGATACAGAAAAGAGCATACCATCAGCCAGAAAGAAAAGACAGATTACCTACAATGAAACTGCAATTACATACACAGCATACTTTCCAGCAGGAACAATGGAAGCCAGATGATAGTGAATAGTATCTTCTACTTATCGAGAGAAATTTACTGTCAATCAAGAATTGTGGAAAAAACAAACAAACAAACAAACAAACCATCTTTTTCAAGGATGAAGGCAAAATAAAGACATTTCCAGTTAAATGAAAACTGCAAGAATTTGCCACTAACATACCTCCACAAAAGGAACTTCTAAAGGATATATTTCAGGAGGAAGAAAAGTGGTTAGAGAAGGACAGCTGATGATACAAAAAGGAGTAATAAAAACAGACATTGGCAAACATGCAGGAAAATGTAAATAAACATTATCTATATAATAAGAATACTACTTCTACTGATGTCTAATTCATGGATTTAACAACAACAAAAAATAGCACAAAAGTCAGAAAGGGAGTAATTTGAGCTAACNCAAAAAAAGCACAAAAGTCAGAAAGGGAGTAATTTGAGCTAACATTGGAAAGAGAGCAAAGACAATTANAAAATAGCACAAAAGTCAGAAAGGGAGTAATTTGAGCTAACATTGGAAAGAGAGCAAAGACAATTAACTTTAGAATGTAAGTAAGTATTTCAATGGTAACCACTAAAAGAGCAGAAAGTGTGTAACTTTCAACCCATTAGAAAGAAAAAAATTAATTTATTAGTCTCCATAACTTTGTTACTTGTGATTTATGAAACAGAATTAGGTAGTCGATTTTACTAAATTAAATTAAACATACTACTAAAATTCCCCAAAAGGAGATATGATTCTTTAGGTTTAAATTGTGAACTGCCCGGCTGGCATGGCTTAGTGGTTGAGCATCAACCTATGAACCAGGAGGTCATGATTTGATTCCTGGGCAGGGCACGTGCCCAGGTTGTGGGCTCCATCCCCAGCAGGGGGCGTGCAGGAGGCAGCCGATCACTGACTCTCTAATCATTGATGTTTCTCTCTCTCTCTCCTTTCCTGTCTCTGAAATCTATAAAAACATATTAAAAAAAAACAAAACACCAAAACAATAAAATGTGAACTAATTGTATATTTACAGAATGAGGTTTCACTTACTTTACGTGGTGGTGTGGATTTCCCAGAATCTAAATCTAGATCGAGGTATTCCACTTGTTTGTCTCCTTTGGGCTTGATCATAGGGCTGCTTCCTCCATCAAGACTGCTACTGCCAAAAAGGTTCTGAAAGGGTAATACAACAAAGTCAATTGTCAAACATTCATGAGACATCCTGCTTTCTTACCTTGCTATCTACTAAAGCCTAAATATTTATTTTAAGAGGACATAGGTTGAAAAATGTCTGCTTAGAAAATTAAATAACTTTTTAGGATTGGGGGGGAAATAAGTAATGTCTAAAAAACTGATCAAAATTTAGCTTAGAATAAGCTAAAAGTAGTTTTAAAAGTCAAACTTGGTTCAAACCAAGACTGGAATGTCAAGCTACCATTAGTTTTGATAGATCAACCTGAATATTATTAAAATGATATATGTATTCAATTACATTTTTACACTACAGGATCCTTATACCCCTTGCTTTCAAATTAAATGTTTTTAAAAGTTCTATATTTTATTTAAAGGCTTTCACACGGAAATTAGTTTAGAATAAGTATGCTAACTAAAGCCTATGAATAATGACTCTATTGGCAAACAGTATTTTATTTCAACCATCTGGAATTTTTACCACTTAATTTCCTCTGCCTTCTCTTGGCCTTATCTCTTCCTAATAGGATTTGTATAATAGTAGGACTAGTCTCTAAGAAAAGATAAAGAAAAAAGGAAGATAGTGGACAGTAATTTTTGCTGAGGTTAAACAGAGTAAACTGGGATTCAAGGCAAAGACAATTGCTAAAAAAATACAGTTTATCCCCTTATTTGTAAGCAGGGCTGCTGACGGCCTATGAGCAACGTTTCTGTGAGTTAGAAAAAGGGGCTCCTTTCTGTGGGGTGACACAGCTCTGTGCCGGGGCCTGCGGCCTGGTGACCAGGACATGGTCTGGATTCCACGTACTCATGAATGCAGCCTGCTGTACACATACACCCTGGAGGCAGGATGGTTATGCAGTAATCAGTCTGTACCACCGAATGGGATGGCCCCATTTGCAGGAACAGATTTTTAAACCAAATTTATCAACTACTTCTAATAAAACATTGCAAAATATTGACGATGATATGTAGGGCACAAAAAAATAAGCAAGTTTTGGTATTTAAGTAGTACGAATAGCCATTTCCCTCCTGCCTATTTTTCTAATTCATACAGAAACTGATTTTTTCCTCTAAATGACTCGATGTTTCATTCTCACACAAAAAAATCAAGTGTGTGTGTGTGTGTGTGTGTGAAAATTTTTTTGTATTCAAATATGACCAATGAAAGAACCGATTCCTGGAATTTCCCTAATTGGAAACACCTAGAATTCACAGTATCACAAGGCTATGAAAGGAACCCATGAGTTCATATAATGTACACATTTAATTTCAATAAGTTGTTCCTAAAGAGAATTTCTCAGAATTGCTAGTTAAACTGTTTTCTAATTATTACTGGAACTGGAAATTTTTTCATCTCCAAGTATTGTTAAAATTTATGTCCCTACAGGGAAGTCTATTTGCTCCTGATCTAATCTCAACTGGAACAGCCTGTCACTGTGTTCTAGCCTTTAACCCAGTGTTTTCTCAAAACAGTTTAGAAAAACTCTAAGATTCTAGGAGTTATTATGAGCATTCTGCAAATTAAAAAATAACATAAAATAAAAACAACAGTAGTGTTTTTTCTAAAATTCTTTTAAAAATATGTAAAATTCTTGAACATATTTTTGTTGTTATTGTTATTTAAGAATATTTGTCTTTAGTAATGATGCACCGTCATTCGACTTTCAGGAGTCACATGAAGGGTTCAATTTGAAAACACCTGGCTTTAGCTCTTTGTATAAATGAACAGGCAGCATCCAGTATAAGGTATTTTCTTGGTAAATAGGTAGTTTCAAAAGTAAAGTACTCTTAAAAAAACTACAACTGGAAACTTTTATAATTTTTAACTAATTCTATATCTACTTTTTAGATATTAATATGACACTTTGACCTCTATTATTTTTAGGTTTTACCACATAATTAAAAAAAAAAAAGCATTAAAAAAAGTTGTCTTTTATCCCTTTTTCCTTAAGTATTAAGAAAGATAAAAGGATGAGACTGATAGGCTGGGAGAAAGAAGAGAGAAGCTAAATGAAGACTTTACATACCGAGTCCTCGCCAGGTAGGTTTGGGTTCATGGGGACATAATTCTCTTCACTGTCGTGGGAGTCGCTGCTTGAGGTTGTGCTATGCACTGAATCCGGTCGGGGAGACATGGGAAACCTGGAAGAGCTAATTACAGAATTGTTATTACAAACATAAACCTCAACAAAATTTCTAAAATCACTTCCAAAATAAAAATGAGTGACAGTTTACATTCTTTCAGAGATATCCACTTAATTTGACAATCACCTATTGTATACACATTTATTATAATACGACTTATTGCACACATTCAAACATACAACCAATACTTACAGCTATATTGCAAATGTATATTTTTTGGAGCATCAAAATTACCTTTGTAGAACAAAGAAAAAGTATTGCTAGTGATTTGGAGGATAGGTGGAAAGTCAGAGATATAAAGATTTAAGAATTCCGATTGAAAATAACTATACGTATACATGAAACATGAATACATATTCAACACAGGTTGGTAACTTCCTATATTCATTTCCCTATATACACTTAAATAAATCTTAATTAAATAATTCCCACAAGAAACTACCATATTTTCCAGATCAGTCGTTCTTAGAAATTCCTGGCCTCATGAACCCTTTACACTCTTAAAAACTATTGAGAATGCCAAGGAACTTTTGTTTATAGGGGTTCAATCTACTGATATTTACCATATTACAAATAGAAAAAAATTTTAAACATAAGAGTACACAAATTGCCCAGCAGGTGTGGCTCAGAGGTTGAGCATCAACCTCTAAACCTGGAGGTCCCGGTTCAATTCCCGGTCGGGGCACATGCCCGGGTTGTGGGCTCAATTCCCTGTAGGGGGCGTGCAGGAGGCAGCTGATCGATGATTCTCTCTCATCACTGATGTTTGTATCTCTCTCTCCCTCTCCCTTCCTCTCTGAAATCAATAAAAACATTCAAAAAAAAAAAAAAAAAGAATACACAAATATACAATTCTATTAGTTGTCACACAATATCATCAAATATGTAACCTCTGGAAAATTCCACTCATGAGAGAAGAGAGGAAAATGCAAATGACATCTTAGTGTTTTAATGAAAATAGTTTTGATGTCACAGAACGCCCAAAAGAGGGGCTTCCCAGACCATCCTTTGGAAACCACTGTTCTAGGTATTTTCATTACAATGAACAACCAAGCATATTTTAAACGGGACTTACTCTCGAGCAAAACTTCTAGTGATGGGAGATCTAACTGGGGCTTGTAATTCTTCCCATTCTGGCAAAGGTTTTATTTCTAAAGGTGCTGGCTTGGCTGAAATAAAGGAGAGAAAAAGAGATTTTAGTATACAGAAATTTGGAAAACAAAATCAGAACTTCTCCCTCTGTATTTGTATGTTAAAAACAAGAGTACACCTAAGACCAGCTAGTTTCACAGATGAAAGAAGGTTTGTGGACATTGTGTGATTTGCCCAAGATTACACAGCTAAACAATTAGTGACAAAAAGTTAATCAGATAGTGGTTCACGGTTGTTAACTAAAAGCCTAAAGCTCTATTACAACATGTTGCGTCTTAATTTAAGTAAATATTTTATGAAGAGAAACTAAATGAGAAGAGAGTAATGTGATGCAGTTCCTTTACAGTTACTTGATTTATACTTTTCACAATTTCCTTATTTTATTTTTACCAAATTTTATCCTTAAATATGGAGACTTAATCTATGTAAAAACGTTCCGATTCTTCAATATTGAAGCATCAGTCATATACAACTCTACATATAAAATAATGTATAAAAAGTATTAAATACAAAACTTTGCTAAAAACAAAAACAAACAAAATTAACTACCAAATCTTCTAAATCAATTCATGCTCAGTCTGGAAACAAATTTAAGAAGCAATAATTATATCTTTAGACTCAAACTCAGCTCTGAGAAAAGGCCACAATTGAACAATACCTCAAATTTTTAGCTTAATTTAACCAACAATATTCTTGATCAAGTTAAATCAAAATAAATGCTAATATTCCCATTAGTTTTACTTATAAGTGGTCTTTGCTTATTTACCTCACTATTGCAGTAGACAATAGCTGCTAGTACAAACCACAGAGCTCTCAGACCTTAACATCAAGACTGAAACGTTTTTCAGAAACTAATGAAATGAGCAAAGAACTAAAACATTATTATTTGTTAATATTAATTATATTTTAGGAGACTATTTAAACATACTAGGTAAGTATTTTAGTTACCTTTCATCCTGCCATTCTAAATAAAAAAGTTTCATTTTTCCAGGTTTCCCTCTAGTCTTTGTCTATATATACGTACTTTTAATCAACTATGTTATTATTACCATCAAACGATAAGATAGGTGGTCATTTTAAAGGGCTAGGTAGATTCACTGGGGCTTATAATGAAGTATTTTGTCAACTCAAATACAAAAAACTCAATGTGATTTTCTGAAGACTAGATTGATTTAAGTTCAAGTTCAAATAATTTTGCTCATCCATACACTTACAATGGACATGTACAGAATACTGTGCTGGCTGAAAGGATTTCTTTAACTCTTATGTTTCACCTTTTTGAAACCCAAAGGTTAATAGCAGTTTCGCCGTCAAATTCTAAGTCATGGCATAAAACAATTAATCCATGGAAATAAGTCTGTATTCTATCTCAGAACAGAAAACATACATTATATATAAATACAGCAGACAACTGGAATTCACAAGCAGCTCACAAGCTTAAAGAAAACAGTGCATTGGTGTCTAAAGGGTTAAAAGAATGCAAAAGGACAAGACTGAATATCACAGATTATCAAATATTTAACATGCAGCTGTTAATGGCATAACAAGGAGACATTGTGTATTATGGGAAGCATTCATTAGAAATAACGTGCTGGGAAGCTTTATTTACAACAGCAGTTGGATTTAAGGCTCTTCTTTACTTTTAAAGGGAAAAAAAAAATCACAAAATAAGTCAATTCCCAGTGCCCCATCCAGCATGCGGTGCTAAAGTACATACCCTTTCTTCTTGCAGCAAAGTCACGTATGGTTTGTGAATCAGTTCGCTCTAAACCATGGGGTTTGGGTCTTAAAATTTTAGGACTTTGACCTAATTGGTAAAAAGAAGACTCTCTTTAATATGTTATTTTTTAATGGGAAAAATGGATTCTGTAAAAAAGCAACTGAGCCCTGAGCAGAAATGTTACATCTCAAAAGCATAAACAAAAGTTTGTTTGTGGAGACAATTTCAATCTTGCTACATAGCACTCATGCTCAGTACACTGGAAAGGAGGGAGCTCCATGGACAACAGAGCAAGTAAAGTGTTACAACAGATGGTAGGGTTTTAGTGGGATAAGTGCCCTGGTTAGTTCTTATTTTTATTTGTGGGAAGGAGGAAAAACACACACCATGTTAGTTCTTCTAACATGCCTTAGAAAATTGGGTCAAATAAAAAAAAAATTTAAATCCCTCAGTCAAATCTCAAGTATACCTGTTCTTTAAAGTTTAGTGAAAGAACTGAGGCCACCTCCTTTCTTACTATTGCTCTCTTAATTTGGTGGAGGTATTTTAAAAAGTTTAATCTGACTATCCCTTCGCCTCCTGACCAAACCCCTTCTAGAGAAGCAGGTGGATGCGACAGCGTTTGCTAATCCAAGACCAGCATTTGTTTTCCCTGAATACTCAGTGGCTGTCTGGTGACATCACTTTGCATGGATCAGATGTCTAGATTCTGAAACTGCTGATGGTCTAGCTTCAATGTTAAGGATGTGAAAGCATAAATTCGTTTGCCATCATTTTCTTTTCATTGTAATCTCCAGCACATACAAGTAGTGATTGAAAAAACCTATGAAAAGGACAGGGTTAACACCCAGCGGCTGGCTTCATGCCTTTTCCCATAGGAGATGTCAGAGTCGCAATATCACTTGAATAGGTTATTTATGCTACTCTTTTCTCAATGGCATCAATTTTTCTTTTTTCATGGCATTTACAAAGTTGAGTTAACAGCTATTAGATGGCAAAATAAGAACTCATTGATGTCTAGCACCTTATCTACGAAAATCTATAAGTTTCTTAAAATGTGATTATCTAGATTATAAAACATGAAAGTTCTCTAATTAACCAATTTTCTAAGTGATGCAATTAATACATTTGAGTTAATTCAGAAATGAGGCAGGCCTACCTTAAGATATGAGTGCTAAAATTTTGGGCCACGATCCTACCCCTAATACTGATCTACCCAGGACTCATGCTGGCCAGGCACTTTTCTAAAACAAAAGGGCATGTCAGCTTTTCATACTTCTCCAAAATAGTGTACTTCCCTTCAAAAAAAGTAAAGGGCAGAGGGTAAGCTTTTCCATAGAAAAATACATTTATTTTAGATCCGAAAGGCCTTTATAGACCAAATCCAGCTTCTTCATTTTAGGGAGGAGATAGCCCTAGAGAACGAAGAGAGGTTAAGTGACTTGTCCGGGTCACGTTATTCAGACTAAATCAAGGCTTCGTCTAGCTGCTGCGGATGCTGTGCCGCTGTGCTATCCCATCTTGCTGTTACCTGTCTATCCCTCTGGGAAACAGAGAATCTTAGAAAATCAGTGTTTGGAGTTTCATTTTGAACTCCTCAGTTGCCTGAGATCTTACATTGACTTGAATGCCATAGATGGTGGATATGTGAGTGGGGTGATGTTTGAAAATTACAAATTGCTTTTAGAACTACTTTTGGTTTATTGGTGCTTACTTGGTGTGTTCTCTGCCCTCTTTCTTTTCTAAAAGATCCACCTTCATTAGCTCTCAGCTTCCGCCTGATTTTTGACTGTGGCCAACCTACCAGCGGTCATTCTCTACACTCCTCAACTTTCAGCCCCGGTACCTCGTCTATATTTGTGGTTAAATAATCAAGGTCACATGACTACCAAATCTACCTGGTTATGACCTAGCTCCATACTTCAGCTGCCTGACAGGTCACTGCCGATTACCCTTCCAATATTGACACTGAGGCCATTATCTCTCATTCAAACCAACGCCACCTCTCCAGTACTCTCAAGGGCACTCCTTGGTCTTCTTAACAGAAAAATGCTGTATTGAGATTTTTAAAGTGCACGTATAAAATTTACATGTATTTCCTAGTGCATCCAAAGCTTAAGGTCGATTTTAAGATAAAAGTCACAGCGTGGATATGTTGCACTGAACTGTGCTGAGCCACCGAGATATTTTGTTAGCTTTATTTCTCTATATCCTTCCAAACTCAACTTGACATTTGTGCTCCAGACAGAAGTAAAAGTCATGCCCAAATGATAGCTCAGTGTTACTTATGAGAGAAAGAAAAAGTGCAAGGTGTAAATATGCTCGTGTTAGCCTTGTCCTCTCCTCTACTGTCTGTAGGCAAATACTTGAATGTTTTGCTGACTGTTGAAGAAAAGTGTGAAAATAAAGAGTAAGAAATAAGAATTCTAAAGCAGAGGCAAAAATGAACCAATCTGGAGATACACCGATTCTCAAATTGAGTGTAAACAAAGGAACTCATCTGAGCCTCAACTTTAAATCCAAGGCAGTTACAACTTGGCTTTAGCTCGACTAGGCTGGAACAAAGAAAGCAACTTTTTTTTCCCACGTAGCTAAAGCACCAACTACTGGTGAAATTCCTATTGTGCTTTAACCCCCAGAGTTAAAATGATCTCCTCCAGGACTGTCAATCTCTGCGTCATGCGATTGCTCCCTTATTTGGAGTAGTTTGGTAAATCCTAATCTCTGGTTCAGATCTTTCCCCCAGATCCTAATCTGCGTATCTATAAAACCACCCACCTGGATGGGCCGCAGGCGTTCACACCGCGTGTTCAAAACGGAATTCGTCCACTTTGACTCACCACAAACCTGCTTTGTTTTCTATCCTTCCGATTCCGATAGCAGATCTATTAGGAGTCATTCTGGAATTCCATTTTCTCACCTCCCTATATAAATTTTACTTTATATTTATAATAACAATGCAATAGTTTTCATTCGCTCAAGAATTTAAAAAAAGTCTGCAAGTCTGAAGTCCTTCCTTCCCTTACCAATCAATGTGCAGGCCAGTTACCTGGTTTTTCTGGGAGCAATGACCTCACACTGTGTGGTTAAATGACCTCCAACCTATACTCCAAGTGCCGGCAAAACTTTAAAAATCACTGTAAGTCCCCAAGTTGAGGGAGCAACTGAGAGCCAGGAATAAAAGCTCTTGTTAGGCCTTTCTCATTTGATCATCCCTAAACCAAGGCTTCAAAAACCCTGGATTTGGAAAATGAGGCAAAGCACTCCCTGAGAAAGATGCTGAAAAAGGTATGACTTTATAACATTTCATTAAAAAATATATTCTTTTCTATCATTAAATCTCAGAATGAGCTTTCTAGAGGCCAGTCTGCTCATAGTACTTGCCTGCATAGAACCCTTTCATGGGGTACTCAGAATAAAGCCCCAACTTATTAGCATGGACCACAAAACTCTCAGGATCAGGCACCTGCAGGGCATTTGGCATTTGCTCCCCCAGCCATCCTTTCCTCCCCACCTCCCACGACTGAGCCTGCCCCATCTCTCCTTTTTAAAGGATCTGGGAGCGCTGTTTATTCTGACTAGAAAATCCTCCACCACCCTCCCCGCCTCTCCATGGTTTAATTGCCACTCACCCACTCAGACTCTCCTCCGGGGAGCGCAGCTGGCGGTGCCAAGAGCTTACCTCAGCCGCAGCCCTGTCCATGCTACTTATGATAATGTGTTTGCTTTTCTATCTCCTCCCCAGGACCCCCAGCTTCAGGAAAGCCATCTTTCCTTCCCTGTGTTTAAACACCCAAGTCCTACACTGGTAGGCACTTAAATTTGCCATATTTAATGCTGGTGGTACATAATCTGACCAATGTCATAATTTTTTGAAATTGAAAAAGAGTGAATGTTGTTTTAAAAGTTGGTCATCCACAAATATGGTCAAGGCGGTCACATGAGGTCGTTTCAAATAAGCAGATGCAATCTTTTCTTTGCAAAGTCCATGAACTAACTCTCAAGTATTATTTTAACAGGTACTGCCTACTTGCATTCAACTCAAAGAATTATTTATATTCTTCTGAACTTTTACAGATTATGCTATTTCCAGTAGGCGTCTCAAAATTCAAGAAAGAAGAAAAATAATTAACATTATTATCCTCTGCTAATTCCAAAGAGTAATCAAGGTATACTGAAAAACTCACAGACTTGTTTTAATGGTCTCGCTGTATAAAGAATAATGCTAATTATACTGGAATGTTTAGGGGAAACCCCCTCCGCATGCCAAGGCTATGGTGTAAAAATGCACTCCATACTCACCTTCTTTAAACTGTAACACCAAACAAAAATCTGACCGGGAGTCACACTTTAATGCTTGTTTAGTAAAATCAAGTTATTTTTACTGGTGTCACTCCTCCATCTTCCAAACATTTATTATAGTATAAAAGTCATTTTGAGAAAGCATGTTAATTTTTAATTATATTCAAAAACTTCTTTAGGAGATGTCTTGAAAAAATGTTTAGAGCAAATATATCGCTGTGCCCAGAATAGACCCACCCAAGGAAGCTCCTCACAATTGGTCTTCTTGATGCTTCCTACACCAAAGTGAAGACCCAGACCTGACGATACCTTAACCAGACTCATGTTAAAAAACACCAGAAGTAACCTTGCGCTGCTTTTTACAAATCAATACCATAACCGATGGTCAGAATCACTGCAGAAAGCCACAAACGGACAAAGCCAAACAAAACAAAATAGAAAGACAGCATTTGAGGCTCCAACAGCTGCTCCATCATGTTAGAAGGAGACTGGATGGGGGAGGGGGCCTAGATAAGTGCAGTGATTAAATACGGTAGATTTATGTAAAGACTGACTTTAAGAGAAGTCAGTCTTTACATTTCTGTAATTTCTGCAATTTCCATAATAGATATCTTACAGAAATTTCTCAAATTTTACAATAGCTTTTCCATTAAAATAGAAAACTTTCAATAAAAACAATCAAAACATAATTTGTGCTGCATTTCCAACAACTTATCTGCTTTCCTAATATTTAATACAACACACGGAAATTATGCTTTTCTCCTCTAGTGTATACACAAAATATGGTTCAAAACAAACACTATATCATGACAGAAATGGTATGGGTGAAAATATAGCTCCTACAGGTTGGAGGATGGGCAACTGATCCATGAAAATACATTAAACATACAAGTTTAGAATATCTATGTATTTCTGCAGCTTCAGTTACTCAGAAGTATTTGAAAAACTCATCTGTACTACTAACTACAGCAGCTGACATCTATAATTGGGGGTATAAACAAGACTAGAATGTCACTCCTTTCTTGTAGTCCCTTCCAAAAACACTCCAGAAACTGGCTATATTGGATGTTGAACTAGTTATACTGGGCCCTGAAACTAATCAAGCCATATCTGATAGAATTGCATCTGCTTACCATTAGGTTTAGTTAATAAGAGAGACTAGAATAATAGATTGAGTTATATATCTGATATCACAGAATGAGAAATTTAGAACGGACTCATCTGATGCTATGATAACAAGAAGCATTTCATGACCAAATAAGACATTTGTTTTACAGTTTAAGTTTTGAGGAATAAACTTTGCTCCAAGATCTGAATTTGGGTTTTAAAATGTGTTTTTCTTGAATAATTATAACTTTCTAAAGTGGGTTGATAAAGTTTGCCCTGCAATATTAAATACCTTCTCACGCATCCTCTCTTGTATCATATTTACTGAAAAAGTAGGATAGTACGAAAGAAAAGCAGAAACATTTTCTTTACTACTATGATTTTAGTAACCTCTTCACTGTTTTGCTAAACCCATTCTCGATTTTGCCAAAAACGATGTGGTTATTTATTCCGGGTGCTTTCTCGGTTCATTTTGTATCTAAAAAAAGATACCAAATAAATAATCTGGCCCATGAGCTCAGGACTGTCTCTCAACAGTTCAGCTAACTTTTTAGAACATTGAACACAATCTCCAGAAGTAACTAAGAACCTGCTTTGTTCTGTTCTAGTGTGAAGTCACTTTAGGGTGGTTAGAGAACTAGGACAATTACTCTGTCGTGTATTAGAATATACAGTATTTTCACTATACACATAGGGAGATACAATTATACAAATATATTATATATGTAATATGTCATATATAGTACACATGCCATATTATGATGATATATTTAGGGTGCCCCCCAAAAAATGTATACACACACTTTGAATAATTATAAAGGCAGTGTTTATTAAAGTACATTTCATTTTCAAAATTGAGCTATCAGCTCTCAAAGTGTATATACATTTTTTGGGACACCCTGTATATTATAATATGGGGTACATGAGCTCTGTCAAACCTAGGTGATACTAAAAGCATATCATTATGATTTTAAAACAGAATTTTCTATCATATAAATAAGATCTTTTCTGATTCTGCATTATGCTTACCATATAGAATCATTAACTGTGAAATCTACCAGAACTTTTCAAACTGTGTTCTGCACAGTTCAAGGGGAGGAAGGAGCAGGCAAGGGGGCTAAAAGAGGTGGGACTAGGAGCCTGTACCCTACCCAATTCGTACCACCTCCACATTTATGGGAGACCTCAAGATATAAGACTGTAACTCTGGAAAGTGTAGCTCTGCAGCTACCATGCACTAATTACAGAAAAATAAGAACCATGTTAGCATTTAAATGAAGATTTCAATATTTCCAAGAGTTCAGGACACTTGTATCTTAACCCTTCAGCAACCTGTAAGTTCAATGATAAATGTATACAGGTCCAAAAATACTTTCATCTATTGTAGGCAAAGAAGAAAATGACCAATAATGTCTAAATAGATTTAAAAACAAATGAAGACAGAGTAACAGAAGGAAAAATTATTAAATAAAAAGCCGGTGACACGCCCTTTCTAAGGTGATCATCCAGATTATGGCCCTGCTTCTGGGACTGTCTGGGTGGCTATGGGTGTCACATGGGACCATCTTCTCAGCTGTTGGACCAAAGGTGGGCGCTTGACCCAAGAGCAGCCAAGTTACCGCCTGGCCTACAGTCTATCATGTGCCTTGGTGTGAAATGACAAAGGAGACCAATCAAACTCCCTCTGAGCAACCTGAAGTGAGTCAATAATGAAGGAGGCAATCAGCAGATGTGGAAGCTGCAAGGGCATGGAAAGGGAGCCACGAGTCAGAATCGAGGCCACCGAGGGGCACTGTAGGCCAAAGCTCTGGGAAAGCAGAAAACCAAGTAAAGTAGAGGACACAGAGCAGAAGAAAACAAAAGGAGGAAAGAATGGGAGAAAGCAAAGCAGTCACAAAGACTTCCCGTGGGACAGACATGCAGAGAGCAGGACAAAGTGGCAGTGCCCTGGGGGTGCCTCGGCTCCCAAAACGAAACAAAACTCATTTTCTTAGGATACTCTGAGCGAGTCTGTCTCTCTTCTCCACAACGAGTACTTAATTAGAATTAATATTAATGATCTAAGCCCAGATTCATGAGAAATTTGCACAAGCATTACAAGCTTTTAAAGAGCTACAGACAGCACATGAGAACAACACAGAAATTGTGCCACTCGTCACACAGCCGATATACTAACTTACTCAGTTGTCCAGATTAAGTCATGCTAACAGCATGCTGCAACACAGCTAGCTGGGTGGGTCTTGACCACTCAAACCCAAACTTTAAAACTTGAGTACATATCACAAATTTGGCTGAAAAGTTTCTCTTACACTGAGTTCTTGACAAACCAAGTTACTTGAGAACTTAATGCTACTTATGAAGGCCAGTAGAAAAGAAAAGATTATTTATACTCCAGAAAAGGAAGGGTAATCTTTAAGCAGTTGTTATACAGACAGGATGGAAAGATTATACAAGCAACCTCACTGTCAGGTGCATGAATAACCTCGCCAAATGTGATACTATAGATGGTGGTTTGGTCTGCAATGTTCTGTTCTTTTAAAATTATTAAAATAGCTGTTAGAACTTAAAATGTCAAAAGATAATGCACATAAAATGTGAAATTTCTGGGCTTCTCTTGATACATCAGAAGATTTGCATGTACAAGTCCATATTATTTTCACAAGTCAACAAAGGGTTGCAGCCCAGGCACAGTTAGTTAACCCAATTAGGGCATTCGACTTTCTCCTAATTCTCTCCTGTTCCCTACCAATCCTTGTGAATGTTTTAGTTTGTAACCTCTGCTGTAGAGACAGGAGATTTAAAAATCTCACCTGGGCATCAACATATAATAATTATTAATCTATACACAGCAATAACACTTAAACAAGTTAGTAACTAAGGTAATATGAAATACTCAAAATGTATAGTACCAATCCTGTTCTGGATTTAATGACAGTTCAATGGGCAGAGTAGATGGGCAACCCTGAGCCTTTTCCTATGCCCTGCTCTCCTTACCTTTTCTGTCTGGCTTGAGGTTCCTATCCACGGGGGGTGGTTCACAGTCTGCAACAGGAACGGGCCTTCTGGGAGGGGTCTTTGGGCTGGACCTGAAGCCCATATGAGCTGGAGGAGGAACTTGCATTCCAAATGAAGAGAAGTCAAAAGTCCCCGGGGTCATCGGCACATAGTTTGCTTCCTGAATTGGTTCGGTAAAACTGCTGGAATGCTGTCGCGGCGGCGAATTGGGATTCATTGGGACGTAATTCTCATCCAGCTCTTCACTTGATACACTTCCCACTGTCAATACATTTTTGATTTTCTAAAACACACATACATTTCTTTTAATAAACAAAAACTACTGTCAAGCAGGAAAACAAAATTGTAAGTCACTCCTATTCATATGGATCAGAAGGGGCTTTTATTTCATGATCTCATTTAGTCTCAGGGAACTAAGCGTGAAGATTTTTGACAATGAAATATACACTCGATCGTGCCAAGGTCAATTATACTTACAAAGTGGTTATGGAAGCCTTCAAGTGAACTAGATCTATCACTTGGAAACGTTCGTGGAATATCATAGCAGTCTTGAGAACTAGCATCTAAAATAAAGAACAAACTATAAACATTTCTTCCCACATTTGCCAGTTCTCAGGGTAATCAGGAATGACTGACTCTCTCTTTAAATGCACACACACGCAGGTACATATGCACACAGATTTTAAAAAAGATGCTCACAGAATAGTATCTTGACTTGGCACAATAAACCACTAGAAAATACAGACACTCACTCCTATGCTAACCAGTACCAGTGTTTGATTATGACAGGGAATGACTGTCTAAGTCTGAGATGAGATGGGTAATCTAAAAATGGAGAAAGATGCCCGACCAGCATGGCTCGGCGGTAGAGCATCGACCTATGATCCAGGCGATTTCGGTTTGTGTCCCAGTCAGGGCACATGCCCAGGTTGCAAGCTTGATCCCCAGTAGGGGGCATGCAGGAGGTAGGTGATCAATGACTCTATCATCATCAGTGTTTCTATTTCTCTCTCTCCCTCTCCCTTCCTCTCTCTGAAATCAATAAAGATATATTTAAAACATACATATGTATAAAAAGACATATTCTACAAAATTAAAATAAATTAAAAAACAAAATAAAAATGGAGAACGATAAACTTCTATTTTGTCTTTTGCACCACCTTAGGCCTAACTTATATTTCACTAGCTTATACCCAAGATTATACAAACACTTCAAGGAGGGAGTTAGAAACTGGTACTGAATGGCTAAATAAATAAGCCTTGATATAAGTACTATTTATGATGCATTAAATCTTTATCTTCTTCAGGACAGCTGGGTAACTCTACCACAGTTTTTAGGGTATGAGCATTTTACACTTTGGCTTTCTATTTTTAGGACACTAAGAATCTCAGGGTATAACCCAGACTCAATTTTTCTCCTCTCAAGGTCCGTAACTTTTGGCAGGCTCTAGGAGACCATATAGGAATAAGAGAAGCGGCGAGGAATAATGGAAGAGAAGACCTAGAGCTTCAAAAAGAAATGCCACCAAACAAAAATCAGTGCGGCTTGAATGGAACTGATAATAACCTGTTAGACACAACGTAAACATTGCTTATCTAGGAAGGAAGGAAATGGAGCCCAATAGATGTGACACAGAAGTGGCTGTAATGGCACAAATACAGAAAAGGGCAGGAGTCGAAGAAGCTGTGTGGCTGGCCCATTTCCTGCTCCTTTGCCCATCGGAGGGTCTATGCCCCCAGGATGTGTAGAAAGTGGGAGGGGTGCCCACGTCCTGAGGCAGGAAGGAATTACTGAGGTCATACTTTTTCGGGGATGAAAAACTCCAGCTCTTTCTCCCTTCTGGCAGAAAACGCACAGAGGCACCTGTGGCACGCACCCCCCAGGGCATCTACGGAGACTGCAGCTTCCCTACGTGAGCGGGTAACTGCAGGGCTGAAGGGACCAAGGGCTATCATCTGACACCCTACTATGCTTGAAAGAACAAACATTCAGAAAAACAGATTTTCTATCAGGAACTTCGAACAGAGTCGAAGCCAACGAGAGCTGACCTTTCCGCAGTTTGTTCAAATCCACAGTGGAGATGGTGTTGCTGCGGGAGGGCGGCACCCCTGCGGTGGGGACACAGTAACTGTTGTCGGTGTCGGAGGCCGCGCGCGTGATGCTACACGTTTCCACAGGCGATCGGTCGTGGGCCGGGTGTGGTTTCGGTGGCCGGGGTGGAGGAATATCTGGAATAGTGTCTAGCTTGGACGTCTGCCCCAGGGTTCCTTCTGGAAATGTTCGTGGAATCTGGTAAGTGTTCCCAGGTGTTGACGGAATGTCATAACTAATAGACACGTGCCTCATTTGAGTCTCTACACTCGATGCCCCAGACGGGGTATTGAAAACGTAGAGTTCTCCATCTGCTTCGGTACTCGAAGGGGACACCTTTGGGAGGACGTCGTGGGAGTAACTCCTGGGCAGGTTGTAAAGGCTGGAGTCCACCGAGACGGACGCGGCGCGGGACGGCGGCGAGTCATACATGAGCTGCTGCGGGAAGTAGCCGTTCACGCCGTGTTTGCTCTGGGAGGAAGTGGGATTTTTATGAGCAGGGACGTTATCATTGCAGTCTGTTTCAGAAGAGGTGGATTTTGCAGAATCAGCATGTGTTCTGAATAAAAAAATTGTTAATGACAGAAAATAAAACACAGTGAAGACATAAGACTGCATTTTAATAAATACATTGACAGCTCAGCAATAAAAATCCATGGCTTTTTTCATTAGATTTTTTTGGTGTGATCCATGGGATTTAAAGCACGAACGCTGCTCATTTTTACGATTATACGCCAGACAACAAAACCACCACCACGAAACCATCAAAAAGCATTCTCTCCAATTTCTGTCCTAGACTGGCCCACACCCCCAACTCCACCTATTAAATCCACACATAAAACCACAACCTCTGAAGTACTGGAATTAGAAAGAGTTATAAAACTCTGAGAAAGGTAAATGATTAAGGCACAGACACGGGGAAAGGCATTTCCTCTGAAGAGCATGCAAAAACGTGGTGCCAACAAGGTATCGAGGCGATCCATCGCTCTTTAGTCCGCCTGTGGCACATCTGTTGTTCTGTACAACTAAAAGTCTAACGATTACCCAGTATTGAGTAAATTCAGTGTGATCTACAAGGAGGTGGCAACTTGAAAAGTGTTGTATATCTTCTTTTCTACTAATTTTTTTAAACAAGCGTTTAGCCAATATTGTAAAGTAGATCAAAATACAGGCCACAGAGTGAGCCAATTCCAAACCAGAACTAACCTTGAGGAATCTCATTAGAGTATATTTTATGCTTTGGGTACATTTTCAGCGCCTGCACTTTGTGGTATCACAGAACTTGGGTAAAAGGCACAGCGAAGCTACCCACAGCAGCACACTGGCGCTTCCGTAACGCTAAACAGGACCCCTTAACTACCCATGCGTGCTGTCCAGAGTCCTGTAGGAACTTCAACTTACTGATTTTAAAAGTGAACTTGTGAGAGTTTTTTTAAGGGCCTATCTCCCCCGATTTCTTAGTCACCTCTGGCTCTGTGTACTCCATTTATTCATTGGAACTCTGCTCTGCTGTTAAGAACCCACGCTGCGATATCCCGGTTTTCTTTGTCCCTCACTGATCACTCCCTTGTTCACTGACTGGCTCCCTCTTCCTGTCTCTCCGCCTGGGAAGGGCCAACAGATTTCAGTCCTCCCTTTCTTGACCACACACACCATGAAAAAGTCCTCCCATCGCCTTCCACTGAATGCTGACAATTCTCATCTCACTACACTCTGAGTCCCATATTTTCCAACTGTTCAAATATATTTCCATTTCATTATCCCAGTATTACCTTGCTCCTGTGTAGCAAACCAAGCCCAGCTTACTTCTCTAATTGACGGCCCTTTCTGACTTGCCATTAAAAGAAATGTCTTTATTCGGGTCCTCTAGGCTCAAACCCCAATCAGCTTGGGTTCATTCTCTTTGATTTCCACCATCGCCAGGTACAGAGTCTTTCTTCCTAAGCAAGTGCCCATCCCCTGCCCTATTCCCACTGTCACCACCCCAAGTTCAGGTCCGTGTCTCTGCTACGTTCTACACCACTGGACCCTCCTAAGTGAACTTTTCCCCTCTGGTTTCTCCTTCCAACGTATGCATGGGTCATACTGCCATGCTGGGGTAAAATCAGTATTTTCAAAATATGGTTTTCATCTCACTCACATACCCAGAGAAAATCCTGTTTAGGGTCCCTCTACAGGGAACTCCAAAAAGCCCACAAACTTCGCCCCTTGGCACTGAGGCTTACTAATCACCTGGCTCCACCTTTTATGGCCTATCTCCTCTTACTCTTCCCCAAACGGAACCCTTTATCCAAGCAGGCTCTCCTCCTTATCTTCAACCCATCACTCTCATTCTCACCTCTCCCTTTCCCTCAAGCACTTTATGCAGATTACTAATGATAGTCTCTCTTTCTCTCACCAACCAGGTGTAGTTCAAATCCTGCTCCTCCCAGGGCAGGAATTTCCAACATATTTACATATATGAAAACCCAGAGGCATTTAATTCAGCCTGGGAGTCTGGGAAAATTTTTCCTACATGTGTCTGGGCTGAAGTTCTCTTATCTTGCCTCCATCTATAGACACTTAAAATGCTTCCACGTTCTGACTTTTTCACAAGGTTTACTTGTAAACTGTGAAGGTGACTGTATCTGAGGGGGCTGTAACTTACGTAATTAGTTTGTAGCACCTAGTAAAATAGTGGGCACATCATAAATACTTGTTAACTGTCGCTTTTGAAAAAAAGTAGATGCAAAATATATCTGAGCATAATTTCTACCACAACAGAAAAGTTGTGATAAAAGTAAGATCAATGAAAGACATTATATATATATAGATATATATATATAAAAAGAAAATGTACTGAAAATTGTCACTTAGCCGTTGGCTTTTAAAATGTTGATATTGAAAAATAATTGTGACTCACCGTAAAATGAAATCTTAGTTAGTAGCATAGGTAACAAAGTTGCGAATGTGTAATTTTAAATACTCACAGCAAACAAGCAAAATCAAGTTAGAATTTGGTATTATTAACTAGTGCTGATTTACAATTTTTTTTTTTTCTCTTACAGGTAAAATCCCATTACAACAAATATATAGAAATGCATCTTTGGCGTGTTTGTTTCCATTATCTTAGGGATATAGTCACAGAAACTAATTTGTGGATCTAAACAAATTCTATATAAAATTTTTTGAACAAGTGCTTTGTATATTCCTAGCCTGGTTAACAGTCATTTTCTACATTAAAAAAAAAATCTTTTTGTTATAAAAAATAATGCTTAATACCTAATAACCCTGTTTAAAAATCTTTCACATCTACTATGCAATTCACCCCCACATTTATACTACAAATTATGATAATAAATATACCCAATATCATTAGCTGTCACAGCTGCTAATGGTAGAGACAGGCCTCATGATCACTATTTTTCAGCTCCAGTACTTACCATTACCTCAAACCTTCCAATTACTCAATATCAAATTAAAATACCTTATAGCTTAGAAGAAGAGAGGGGTCTTGGAGCAGGGATGTAGATACTAAAGCTCAATTTGTATTTTCCATAGATTTTGCTATATTGGGATTTTACCTGTATGATTAATTTCTCACACAGATCCAAAGCAACCACAACACACTCACTGCAATGGAATCGTTTTGCTTTCAAAATCTTCTAGTAGTAGGTATTCCTCTCCTTCTTCAGAAACAAAAGATGACCCTTGGCTGGTTTATAATCACATAAGAAATGGAGCAAGATCACCATTTATAAATCAGTGAAATCTGTTAAGCAAGTAATACTGTGAGTCTGTAACAAAGACTACGAAAAGGAAGCTAGGTTTCACAAAGAGCTTTTGGTAAAAGTGTTCCTTGCCAAAGATGCTAGAGAATATGTTTTTTCAACAAAATCTAGTGAATATAAAAAAATCATTAGTGGAGGGATACAAACTTGAAATAATATGCATAAAATATAAGCCTATATAGATGGTTTCTTTTAAACCTTCAAATCATAGTTTTAAAAGTTTAAAGGTAAGATTCCTAAATATGTACACACACACACACACACACACACACACACACACACACACACACACACACACACACACACACACACACGGATATATGTGGTTTACCTGGTGGGTTCAGGCTTCTTGCTTTGACAGTTGATTAGCAAGAGGTAGTCTTGAGGGTCCTCCTGGATGTCAAGAGTCTCTATATGTGGTGGAAGGTTAATTAGCTGATACGGAGGAGGCTGGGCGACACAAGATGAGTCTACCTGGGCAGATGGTGGTGTTGTGATGACACCTGAAGATAAATCCGCTGGGGCTTGTAAGGAGCTGCCAGGGGGCTTCACAGGATCTGTGACACCAAAATATGACTATCACTCTCTATCCCATTGTAAGAAGTTTTTCTTAAGTAAAGCCACTTGAAAGTTTAGAGAAAAACTGTTTAAACACATGGAAACAGGCTAAATCATGATTGTGTCAGTTAAAACAAATACGACCTAAGCAGCAACATTTATACAGAAAATAATTGGTTCATGTCAAAGAGATCTGAAGAGTAGGGATCTTTCTTCCAGAGGTTCTAACAGTCTTTCATGTTGAGGCTTCTGGAAAGGAAGATGATCTTCGATGTTCTATAATCTTAGCACAAAAGGCAGATTTTTTCCCCCCCATGATGACAAAGTGCTTCCTGAGCCAACCTTCCAAGGTGACCTATGTTATCAGGTGGAACCTACAGGTGCCTGGTGTTGTGAATACCAGGCCCAGCTCTTGACCTCATCTGTACTCTGCTGTGCATCCTTTCTACTTCTCAGCCGACTGGGGAGAACGAGTTCTAACTGCGGGATTCACGTTCAGGGGAAGAGCTTTTCTTTAAGGCACCACCTCTTTCCTGAGCGCATCGTCTCATTTTCATTGGCTGGATTTCTATAGGATTTTCATGTCAGCAAATAAGTAATTTATTAACTATGTTCTGAGAAGACATATGAAAATAGCTCAGCTGGGTAGAATGAAGTAATTTAAAATGAGTTGAAAATCTAAAAATAAAATCCCACTGTAATCACTGACGCAACTAAGTAAAATTTTAAGGGCCCAGAATAAAAATTCTGTTACTCTCGTTAGAAATGAACGGCTATAAATCCAGAAAAAGGTAAATGCTCCTATATGAATAAACACATTTGTTTATTGTCTATGTTAGAAAATATTAATTCTGAAATATATTCATATTCTATTCGTTACATCAACATGCTCTACCAAGTAAAATCAAATGCAGGCCATTTGGCCTGTTCATCACCAGGGAGTAGTTCCATGCCAGCTCTGTCTTCTCTAGATACTATAGCAGACGTCCACACGCCTTTTTGATCGGGTCTTTATGCATTCCACTTTAATATTCATATAGGTACCACGGCAAAGTTTACAGAGCTCATTTTATAACTTCTTCCCAGACACAGAAACTCATATCCTAATTGTAAAGTTCTAATAACACATAATATGATTAACTGCCACAGTTTCTATTTCATCGTGGGTCCCCAAATCAAACACAAAGGATCAGAACGCCTGTGCTCCCCTGTGCCTTACGTGTGGTATTTGCACAAAAACGTTTCGCTCGCCTAGTAAAAACCCACTCGGCACTTTCTCTGACAAGCTGAAAGAGAGCAAAGCGAGGCACACTCGCAAATCTGCAAGACCATTTGCCTACATGTGTGTAGTTTGAAATTTGCCCCTGAAGAAATTTGTGAGTCCTAACAGATGCTAATGAAGTTTGAAAACATCTTTCGGTTGGAGAATTTGGCCTGAGTAAACGGAAGCTCAGCTAATGTCTAACATTTTATCTTTGTTACGTTGCATGCAATGTCCAATCTTCAAGCAAGCTCGTCTAACAAAATCCGACACTTTTTGCCAGTTCATTAATTAATTCCTTCTTATTTATGAAAGGCGAAAACAGAAAATGATGAGGAAAGAAAATGAATTTTTGGACATTTATACAACATAATGCCATTATCTCAGAGGGAATCATACATATCGCATCCTGTCTAAAAGATGTTGAGTATAAATAGTGTACATAACAGGCCCTAAGAAGTGTTTTACTGTTTTGCTTGAGTTGCAAATATACAGAGATTTATTTAAGGGGATTTAAAATGCAACAGATTAATCAGTGACTCAGAGTAAATCCTTGTGATTTGTTAAACTTAAGGGAACTATGAAAAATATTTACCTTTAAAGAGCTTAAGAAAGATATATATAACACTGAGGAGAAAAACAAAAGGCAGAGGGATTAGAAAGCAGCTACTGTCTCCTACAGGCTGTATTCACAAGTATATTTTATATGCTTCTCCTTTCCTCTAGGGAGGGGCATGGTAACACTGTAAAAGCCAGTTCAATTTTTAGTTCTGATCAAAACAAGATGAAACTAAACACAGGAAAAACAACACTAGAGAGAATAGAATGAGTTCTAGTTTTCAACTGTTAACTCCTAGAATAACTTTTCCAGGTGGTTGTTTTTATACATACACTTTCCCTTTAATATTTTTTCTAAACTTGATGCCTAGACGCTAAATGAACTGAGGGATTGATTCATCTTAAGTGGGGAAAAATCACCCAGCAGGGAGTCATGTTTTATCTGACCTTGTTTATGCACACAGTGGGACCATCTCATTTTCAATCTTCCATTTCTCCAATCTTTCTTCTCTTTCTTGTGAATGACAAAAAGTATTTACCCTCTTTATAGGTGCAAGATTCTCTCAATCTTCTGAAAAAAGGGACTGGAATTCAAAGGCTCTCTCTTTTTTTTTTTAATATCTATTCACAATATGGGAAAACATACATATAGCTGATCCTTGAACAACATGGGTTTCAACTGCAAGGATCCATCTTATATGGGGTTCAATAAATATACAGTCACCCCTCTGTATCCCCTCAGGTTTCACAACTCTGCATTCAGCCAACCGTGGACTGAAAATAGTAAATTCAATCCGTGGTTGGGCACCTGCAGATGTGGAGGGCAGAATGTATGTGTTGTTCTACACATAGATTATATGAGGGACTTTTTATATGACGGGCTTTTACAGAAGATCCTGGAACCAACCCCCTGCAGATACCAAGGAACGAATGAGTTTTGGGGGGAATTTTCAACTATGCAGAGACTGGTGCCCCTAAACTCTTGTATTGTTCAAGGGTCAACTGTACTTTTAAGGGGCAGGAACTAGCGAGAAACTTCTATTATGTTCATTACCAGGCTCACGAAAGAAAAGATCTTCAAACAGTTGTAAAAAGCAAACCCAAGCCTTCCAAACAACATGACATACAAAAGTCTTTAAATGGAAGGCAACACTGCTCTACCACTTTGGCTCAGAAAATGCACTGTTTTCAAAGTTTTAGTCTTTGGATTATTTTACTCATTGTTAATCTGACCATCTACTCAGCTCTGCATATTTTAATGCAAGCACTGCATTGTCTTAATATTCTCTAAATACAATTCTCTAAATACAATTTCTGGCCAAAGTTAGTCAACTGATCTGAAAAAGAAACTTCTGTTCCATCTTATAAAAACATGCGATTTACCCCAATTGGGCCCAAAAGGTAGTTGAGTGGACCATGTTTATTGCTTTTTGCCTCACTTAGGTTTCTAACTTCTGCTCTTTCCAAGTAATGCTGGGATGCAGTTTCTGAGAACCCAATGTCAGTTTAGGGGTTGCTTACGTGTGTAAAATTATTTCCTGTCTTTTAATTCAGAAGCATGAAAAGTGTAATTAGCATCCATTAAAAGACTAATAAGCTATTGGAGCAAACTCCTAATTGAATTTTACTTAGAAAACTAATAAACACTGCTAAGGAAAGCCTTAACCAGCTTTAGGTGGAGAGAAGTAGGTGAGTATGTGAGGGGAACCACAAATAATAAATTGGCCCGCAACTGTCCCTAGCTTAATGCATAGTTTTATTCTATTTGAAACCCTAATGCCATCACAGAAGTTGGGTTGCCTTGATAATGCCTCTAAACATTCAAAATAATATATGTATTTTTCTAACAAGAGCCTCTGCCCAGGGAAGCAATTCTCCTCTTTCTTATTGGTAAGGTAGGATATTTCAAAGTTGATGTCATAGGTCCCCTGATTTTGTCACTACTAACATACTGCACCTGAGCATGTGGTAATAAAACTGGTGTGGCTCATGTGCTTGTCAGGAGACCAGAGGAGAACCTTTTCTCTAAAGTTGGGCGACATTTGGTGAAAGAATATGTTCTTGGTTTCTACTGCAAAAGTGTTACCTCTATGCTCACAATTAATGGTACAGAGGTCAAGGTTACTAGGTTTCTACTGATTACTAACTTATCCCGTCTGTTGAATTTTTTTTTCCTGCAAAGAGAAGCACTTTGAATAGATCTATGTCTAACTTAGCAAATAAAGGTCCACAAAGAGTATGCATTATCATTAGTGCTAAAATAATCTTCTAACTTCTGAACAGACCACTTTTTAATGAAAGAACATTTTATAAAGGTAAATCTCACAAATGGATACAAACAAAAAACAGCAGTAGTTGAAATTTCCAGTGAAGCAACCTGTAGTTTCTTCTATTTATTTAATCAAATATTGAACACCTCTAATCAGCCCAATCTCTTTAATGTGTTTCAAGTAGAAAAGTTTTTATCTTATTTGTTATGACCATCTCCTTCACAGATTGTGAAAATTTTCTTGAGACTTTGAAAATAAACCTTTAGGAAGTGGTGACAGATGCCAAATTCTTATCCCAGAGGTCTGATGACTTCAGAATCACTTGTAGGGTATTTTAGAAATCTAGGTGCCTGGGGTCCACCTCAGAAGACTCAATGAATCAAGATCTTAAAGGCAGTAGCTTGAAAATGTGTAATAAAACAAAACAAACTCTCTGGTTGACTTGGTGCCCAGGAAAATGCAAATTAAAACCACTGTGCAACATCACTACACATTCCCTAGAATGGCTAAAATGAATGACCGAAAATACCAGTGTTGGTGAGAATGCAGAGTAACTGAAAGTCTCATACACTGCTGGTAGAAAAGCAACTGATACAATAACTTTGGAAAACTAAAGCTACTAAATCTTCTAATGCTAAATGTATATATACGTCCTATAATGTAGCAATTCCACTCATGGTTATATACCCCCCAAAACTAAGGGTTCATGGCCATCAAAAGACACATATAAGAATGGTCACAACAGTTTTACTTGTATTAACTAAAAACTAGAAACAACCCAAATGTCCACTGACATTTGAATTGATGAACAGTTTGTTATATAGTCACACAATGGAATGCTACACAGGATTAAGAACTGCTCCGTGCTACAGGGGTGAATCCCGCAGACCTAATATTGGGAAGAACAAGC